GTATCTGCGGGAGCAGTCACATTTGAAGAACAGAAAGAAGGTCAAGCATACGATTTTCTGAACATGTACCAAAAAACCTATGTCTAAAGGGAACAAATGCTTTAGAAAGTACAACCGCCAGGGATCTCCTTGGAATAAGTGTGTGAAATCTCCAATTTCTCTTTATTGTTTGTTACCACCTTCCATATCTTCAGTGTAGGCAATGCGTCATTCCGATAGCACGTGTGCAGTGTTGAGTTGATAAACAAGCGTTCAGTGATTAACCTCTCTCTCTCTCTCTCACACTCCACTTAACTATATTACTTTTTAATATTCTCATACTGCCCCATCCTATTTTGTGATTACATGCTTGTATATTTGTGTTTACAAATATCCTGTACTTATTCTTTTGATCAAGACATCTAGGAAGGGATTCTAGCTGCCTGATTCCTCTTCTCATGTTAATTCCGTTTCTTCAAATATGTGGGCGATTAATTTATGAGTGCACTTTTTATATTATTTCTTCTAATTATGACGAATACATCAATTTCTTAACGTATCCCGAGTTTCATTTTGATTATAGGTAGGGATGTGTTCGTCGGTGGCATCATAGTGGTAGAATGCTCGTCAACCACGCCACAGGTGGTCCGGGTTTCGATCCCCGGTCACGGACGCACTCCTTTACCTCGCCAAGCCAGTAATAAAACTGGTAAAGAGGGAAGGCTGGGTATGAGGCTAGCAACACCATCCCGTAAAAATAAACACCACTGCTAGCGAAAATTCAAGTCTCTATCTTGAAGGCCTATATTCCACTGAGAACATACAGGAATATAAAAAAATTAAAATATTGGTAGGGATATGGTTTTCAGTTTTGTATAACAGCTTCAGCGATTATTACCAATAGGGGTGATTTCATTGATGTTCCTTTTGTTATTATATAGCATATTTAAAGTCAGCGCTGAACATGTGTAGTCTAGAAATACATTATAGCTTCGCAGTTAAACCTCCAAGGCGTCAGGATGATCGGGGGTGGGTGCCTTGCGCCGCGGGTTGGCCACCCCTCCGCACACCTCTTGAAATGCCCCCATATGACCGGGCGTCTTACACAGCCTCTCCTGAGGAAGTCCTACTCACTGCCTTCACGTGGCGGAGGTATTTTTCACCGAAGTGAGAAGGCAAAGGTGGATGCCCGGCGCTCTTCACCGGGTTGACTGTCCATTGGATGACAGTCTAGGGGAGACGGCTAAACCCTGATTCCAAACCTCCAACGACTGGCGTATGAAGCTCACCGGCAGACATATGGACAAAGGGCTTATTGGATGCCCTGGATGTCTGGCCCCATTCAAAAAGGCGTATGAACCGGACTCCGGTCACCGGCTGGCTTCCAATGGATAATGGACTGCCTACTCCACTCCTACTGCCTTGTAGGTCACACTTGGTTGTGTAAAGGCTAGAGCTGCACTCTCAAACAAAAGGCCGAGCGATGCTGGGGATATCACTCGTACCTAATTTCCCATGAAACTTCACGAACTCTCTACAACATCAACCAAATTCCAGTACTGGTCCAACGACGTCGCCTTCGGTGGTTTGGCCATGTTCTGCGCCGACCAGATGACGATCTGGTCAAATCAGTTCTAAATCCCTCGCCATTTCCATCTTGGCGATGTCGCAAGGGTGGACAGCTGAAAACATGGCTTGATACAGTCAAGGTTGATATGGAGTGCCTGGGGCTACAAACCGTCTACGGACTCCGTCTGTGGAACAAGAATTGGATAACCCTGTCGCAAAACCTTGCATCAGATCGCCGAGCCTGGGCAGCGATGATTCGAGATGTTCATGAAGCCAGCTCATCCTCCTGTAGGAGATAGCCGAAGTAAAGTAAGTAAGTAAGTTAAACATTCCACCTCAGAGAACACAATTACACCAATTTCATCCATCTGAGCTACACACTTCCATCGTTTCTATCCCCATTTCAAGTACACATCATAGGATGTTTATATGTATCAGTATGCGTTTATAAGCTAAAGACAGAAGCATAGTGAGATTATTTTCTTAAATTTATTGATAAGAAAAATCAGACTGACTTTCAAATACATTATTATGATTATTAAAATCTCCCACGTCATATAATTCAGAACATATAAGTCAGCGAAGAGACTTTCGTCTCCTGTAATGAGGATCCGAAGAATCTGCAATCCTCAGTCGACAGATGAAAAGATCGCTATTTTAACAACGACACTAAGTGAAAATCGCTTACGTTCACGCTTTATTAATAATAATTTGTTTTATTCCTTGTCTCTGTCACTTACAACACGGGCCAAATATGGTATCGTTGAGTTCCTCTAGTTGGTTGTACGAGCATATATAATTTTGTACTGATTTCTGGTTCTACATGATGAGATACAAGGCAAGAGTTTGGAATAGAGGGGGTGTTGGGTGTCGGAGAGTATGGTTTTAAACCATTTTTCGCATGTATTCAGATGCTTTTCTACTAATGCAGTGACGAGTTGACTGAGTTTTACACCGCTAGTCCTACTAACTACCTTCAACATCCTTCTCAGGATGGTATAGTCCTTTTTCAGTAGCCCAGGAAAGACTAATGGGGAGCAGTAAAGCAGAATAGGTAAGATACGAGAGTTGACAAATTGTGAAAGTAGAGGTTGGGTGATTCCAGATAGTCTAAGTTTCTTAATGTATTATCTAGACGGAACACTTTCTTAGAAATCGTTAGGATATGAGATGACCATGTAAGTTCGAAAGATAGAACTAGTCCGAGGTATTTTGCATTAGACTTAGTTTCAATTGTAGTCCCCTCAATGCTACAGACTTCATGATTACTTACTAGTGTTTGTAGATCTCGTTTATGCCTAAAGGAGAAGTCAATAGTCTGGCATTTTGGGGGATTCAACATGAGACCATTTAGTTTAGACCACTGACTGATGTCCGACATGAAGCTACTTAATTTGAAACAGTCTGACTGAGACTTAACGGGAAGCGAAACAGTCAGGTCATCTGCATATTTAACGAAGTTGATTTCGTCTAAAAGAGGTAGGTCATGTAAGAAGAAGGAAAAGAGGAACGGAGAGAGAACAGCACCCTGAAGAACTCCACCTTCAGTAAGCAAACGATAGGAAGAGACACCATTATATACCGTGTACTGCATCCTTTGGAGAAGTAAGAGTGCAGCCAGTTGATAGCCCAGGACTCAGTTTGTGTAAGGCTAAGTTTGTTTAACAAAAGGCCTCTAGGTACAGAGTCGAAAGCAGATGTGTAATCAAGGAACGTACAATGGACATCCTTGGCCCCTTTGTCTAAGGAGGATACAATGTTGTGATGAAACACAGCAGCATCGAAAGTACTTTTATCCTGTTTATAAGCAAACTGCTTAGGATCATTTGAGAAGCTTAGGGACAATAATTTCTCCATTAGTTTCAAAAAAGGAGAGGTAATAGCAATAGGTATAAACTTAACATTATTTCCAGAACCTGACTTGGGTACAATGATGATTTTAATATCTTTCCACAGAGAAGGTACAACATTATTAGAAAAAGAAGTATTGGAAATGTTTGTAAGTGGGTTACTTAAACTATCAGCACATTTCACTAGGACAATGGGAAGTATACCATCAGGGTCTAGACTCTGGGAAGGTTTAAGAGACAAACACATGAAACTGAAAACCAACAAATAAAATTACACCTCTGCACCAAAAAAAGACGCTAAACATGAATATGATGTTGTTCAAAGGGGACTTTCTGGTTAACACTCTAAATATTTATTTATTATTTATTTAAACTCAGAAAAACTTGGTACAATATGGCACCAAGACGATGCGCCACACTTATTTCATTTATTGTGTCAAAGCTGAGATACTGCCCGGGAGCCCAGACCGAAGCAGGTGGTTTTCTTAAGGAACGACACACCCCGAGCCTTTGACTTGAAGTCTAATCCGCAAGGCAGCGTAGTAGCGTCAGGAGCTACGTTCCCATGGTTGCCGGTGACCAATATAGGTTTATACGCCATTTGATCCGATGGGATTCTGGAGCCCATGTACCTCATGGTAACTGCTTTTATTTAGTCTAACCGCTATATGAACAACCTTCCTGACATGGTAGGACCTGCAGGAACACGGGTCCCAGCCAGTTTAGCTTATTGGGTCAGTGTGGTATTCAAGCCCGACCACCATGATAAAAAACAGTAGCTGTCGGCCGGGACACTCTAAACAGAAGAATATCAAATGACCTGAAAACAGCATTCTTCACTTCTACATTACGGCTGGTATTCTTTTGCCACCAAATTTTCTCCAACAACTCCAAAGATAAACCATCGCATTTGACTGATTCTCTATGTGTATCTACCATTTTACTTGCTCATGTGGATCAAGATATACAAGATGTTCGATGCGTGTTTTTTATCTAAAACAGCCAAAGAACATTATCCCGCTTGGCTATGAAAAGGTAACAGTAGGTCAGTAGGGAAGGGCTATAAGTGAATAAATACTCAACACTGGCCATTCAGTAAATAAGAAGAATTCTTTCAAAGTTATCTACAAGGTCAAAAGAAGCCTCCCGAAAACAGTAAGCCTCTGTTTACTTTGCATTGCGGAGGGCCTTAACGATTTGGATAGAGAATCCTGATTTATGTACGAACACAGAAGAAACTTCTCCATCTCCTTCTTCTAATATGGATATAATTTCAAGTTCAGCTATTATCACTATTTTGTTAGTAACGCTTTTTTGTGCATTTTTTTTCGTATAGCACTTAGTATCATCATTTGCTTGACTAACCTTCTAACTACTCTCTTCACTTACTACAAAATTTATTTTGATAATTGTCTTTATGCTTTATCATTAACATCCAAATTTACTCAGTGTTCTTCACATTATGTAACTTTAGTCTGAACTTTATTCATGTATTCATCACTCTTTAGAAAATATTCTAATAATGTGAACAAAATTCCAAACTAATATTTTATTCTTGCGTTATGTATTTGTATACATGCAAAAATAATTAATTATATATGATGGCAATTGTTTAGTTAGGTGAGTGAATTCGCCAAAAAAAAAAAAATAAAACAGACTCTTCGCTGAATTGTTGGTGCTTATTTTTTGTCACAGTTACAAAAGGAGATCTCTTTTCTGATTTATATGTCCTCCTTCCTTTTTCTTGGTCATTCCCTGCGTTCCCAGTGGAATGTACAGCTTCACTGGAACATCTCGAATATAGTCGGCCATCTGCTATCAATTCTAGCTGGCTCTTCCGCCACTCACAAGTTTTCATTTCACCTTGACCTAATCTCTTTCGTGTCTCACCTATGGATACCCAACTGCTTCCTTCCCATCTGGTTTTCATTCTACGGCCTTTGTTGTGGTGTCGTATAGAGATCTTCTCAGAGTTTGTCGAATCCATCTCCATTTCTTAGTGTTCATTTATCGGGGAGGAGTGGAGGGGGGATAGGTAGTTAGTTAGTTCATTGCCTGCCAGGGTTGTTCCTTCATTCCACTTTCTATCGGGTTATGTAATCTTTACTGTCAGGCGAAAAGGGCATCTGTTGAAGCCTTTCACCATAGGTGCTACAATTCATTTGTCATTAAATACCCTGATATTCTTTGAATTTGTTTGTTAAAGTTTAACTGAAAAACAGTGAAATAAATAGATAAAAAACAATAAACTGTAGGATTAGTTTTGCCTACAGATTTAGTCCGTCCTCAGTACTGACGACACAGAGTCTTAGCTTAACTATAGTTAAAAACAGAGTAACTTCACTTAAACTTTATCTGTTTCTAAAACATAAAATAAAGCGTACAATTACACCAAGAAAGGCACAAATCCATTGTAACTCAAGAAAGGACAAAAACATACCGAACAGTACTGAAGGAACGGACAAAATGAACAGTTAATTATATATACACACAACAGAGTGACAGGAAATAAAGAGCATTCAAGGTCACATCACGTGGTGAGAGTTACATTAAATTAGCCAATCATCGCGACAAAGGGTCACATATATCGATTAGCTGTTCGTCAATCTATCCATTTGTCGCGATTAACATAAACCAAACTTACTTCTTGTAAAAGTTTTTGTCTAGCAACTGTTTCATTACGCCATTCTTCTTCACGTTTAGCCCATATCCTTGATGCTTCATACCTGAACAAATGCAATAATAATAACAATAACAATAGTAGTGATAAACAAAACTGTGACTGAATATATAAGTTTTAGCGAGAGAAAAAACCTCCTACTCTCTCATTTCAGCCTACCTACATGAATAGGTGGAATGAAGGCGATCAAATACGACTTGAACTTCAACAGGTTGTTGGTTTGGTATGATTTCGTATTACAGGCTTAGAAGAATGCTTTTATTATGTCAAGTGTTACTTCTAACTATTTTAAAAGTTTCATAATCGTTATAATTAGGGTTTCTCCATAGCTCTTTCAAGGCTTTGAAATGCTAGGGAGTTAAAATGCTTTTCTTTTTTGGATGGTTGTGTGGAAACTGATAACCTGTATTCGCCAACTTGCCCTTAAACCAATCCCGACCTACAATTGATGTTGAAACAAGAGGTTTAAGTTGGTCATACAAATTTTGGAGCTCAGTAGCGTTGGCTCAATCCATAAATTGCATACATGGGACGCAAAATATTCGTCCAAGGTATAAAGCTTCTCTCTAATGTAGGGATAGAGTAATATCAGAGACGTTTGTCACAGAGAAACCATAATATGAAGGTTCTGGAGTTGGCATCATGAACAAAAGTGATTACAAGTGGTTTGATAGTGTTTTATCTGGTTTTTTCACTCAGTTGGAATATCAGTTGTAGCGTTGGTTACATCTAGCACTTTAATCCTCACCTAAAAATTATTCACTTTAAAAAAAATAAAGAAGAAACTGTTCACTTTATTTCACATTTAGTTGAACAGCATAATTTTCAAATGATTAACCTGGATTACCAAACTTTAGGTTCAAATTTATTGGCTATACACACAGCTGCTCACTAACCAATCACATTCCAAATACCATATTGGTGGATGCTTTTGATTGGATAATACAACATACACAAATTAGCCGTTTTTATTGTCACTGAAACTTTTCTAGATTACGATGATGCACCCCGCATGAACAACCTGATACGAGGATAGTGGCTAGACTGCAGTCTTCTTCCTTGAATGCTCTCATTTGACCGCACGTCCATAGCTTCTACCAGGTGAATCATACTCACTGCCCTCACATGACAGGGGTATTCCTTACAACAATAAAAAGAGTGAGTGAGAACGTCTGGCGGTTACACCTGAACTGGTGGATATATAGTAGAGAACTGGAAAACCCAGGTTCCCAACATATGATGTACATGTGCGCCATAATCCGAAATGAATGAATAACGTATGAACCTGTTTCGGTAACCGGAAACTATGGAAACGTGACTCCTGACTCTACTACACTGACTTATAGATCAGACTCAAGGTTAAGGATTCGGCGGGGAGTGTCCCCTTAAGACAACCACCTACCTAGGTCTGGGCGTCCTAGCAGTACTCCATCCCTCACACAGTCTATGAGGTTTTGTGTTGTGTATCTCTTGGTGTCCATTATTTACCAAGTTTATGCATGAATAATAATCAGTATATGACAACTAACAAATTTAGGTTTCAATTATTATGTTTAATGTTGAAAATTGTTTTCGAACTGGTAGGGAACTGATTGATGTCAAGGTGAACTTCGTAAACATTAGAAAGTAGTCAAGAAATACTAGAAAGCTATTTCGTGCACACCTATTATCCTAACCAAGAAAAGAACCTGGTACTCAGACACTGCAATGGAATATAATGTCCCACAAATTGCTACTTTGGTCTATCTTCAAGATAGCTCCATCGCTACCCAATATTATCGGACAGTGTCAGTCCTTACACTCAACTTTATTGGTCCTCAACAGTCAAGATATCTGAGCGAAATTTCAGGAAGTTCAGTCTGTAGTCAGGCACTTGTGAATTCTGTAAGATGTTAAGCAAACAAGCTAGCAACAACTGATAAAATCGATATTTTAGAAGAAATTTTTTTATTTATTTTGGTCCTCTACTTTCCGAGTGGAACATAGGGATTCAAGTTTGAGCTTTGAAGTTTCAGTAGCAGTGGTTTTATTGTTACGGGTTAGGGTTGCTAGCCTCACGCCTAACATCCCCTCTTTGGTTGCTCATCGAGGTCAAGGAATGTGTCGGTGGGGGGTCGAACCCCAGACCACATGTGTGTTTGGCGAACGTCTGAAAGTCTTGAGTTTAATCCCTTTTTGATTCCCTAGTCCGTACCGATTAAGAGTCTCAAACTAGGACGAAATAGCTGCTCAGTTCCCCTTGCTTTCATGTATTGATGGTTCAATGGTGAAACGTAAGCCAACCATGAAGGAGTTCCTGATTCGATTGCCAGCCGAAGAACTCCCATACCTAACCCCGTTTACCAAGCTTTCATAAGCTCAGGAATGATAGACAATTGGATGTATGGCTGATAACCATAAGTCGTAAGAGAAATAAACACTGCTCCGCGACATCAACTGCAAACAAGAAACAAAAATACGTTATATTCATTTATTTTTTTATTACTTACGCTTGTAATTCACTTAATTCTAATTCTTTAATTTTCTCTTTTTTCAATTCACATTCAATTAATTCTTGCATTGCTAGCACGTTATCTCTTTCTGTACGCTTTTTCTCCATAGCATTTTCATAATCTAAATTTTCTTGTTCAGCTAACTGATTTAACCAATTTAAATCAGCTTTTAATTCAGATTGTATAAATTCTGAACGTTTTCTTAACGCTGTTTGATGTTGATGCAGTAGTGCACGTCCATATAGCTCACGTTGACATTTTTCTTCAATTTTACGTCGTTCTTTTTCTAATCGATCAATCTGAGCTAATTGTTTAATTAATGCTTTTTCTTTTTCAACTAATTTATTTGCCTGATATATAAATATTTTGTCGGGAAAAAGAGGTAAAATAGTTTGAACTACTTATTTGCTTCTAGTAGTATAAATTTAATGCAGAAAAAACGTATGAATTACAAATATCAATCTATCATGAGGAGGGTGAAAGATAATATAATATTCAAAAAGAAACAGTAAATCAGGATAAACAAAAGTTAATTATCCAGATTTAGGACTAATTAGGACCTAAATAACTTCACTTATAACTTCCCAGACCATAGCGCTGGCCGATACAGGTTCATATCTCAAGGAGGGTACCAGTTCCTTCAAGGTTGCGAATGCGTCTTGCTGGCAAGTGCCAACGAATCGATTGCTTGCAACTATGTCACACCGATTCTAAGCATTCTGGGGTGGTAAGTCAACTAGCTTGATGGCCACCTTGCACAGCTGACTGATAGAACTCAGTCAGTATCATCAAATGAGCTAGAAACATGACATTAGTTGCACCCTAGGGACTAATCAATAAATCCTCAGATTGCCTTGATTTCACTAGGCACACGGAGTCAGAAAATTCAGTGACGCTCACCAGGATTCCATTGGTGTTGAGGAGTTGGATTTGAATGATATGTAGAAATGTATTGGGAGATATATCAGTGATAAGTAAATAAACTACAATGAATCTATCATGAAAAACAATGGGTGAAAATGTTTTACAGGTCAAGTTTGAATAGATGGGGAGACGTTACGATGAGAGATTAAAATTGAAATTATAGTGTACAACAATTCAATTACAGCTATGGGATCGCCTATCTTACCAATATTAGCTGACATATTCATGGATTATTGGGAAGAGAATGCCCTTAAACCATTCAGGTTATCACTAAAATGTTGGTGGAGATATACAGACGACACACTAGTAATAGTGAAAAAAACGATACTGAGAAACTTTTCTCACACATAAACAGCCACGTCGACTCAAAAAAATTCACTATGGAAATAGAGAATGAAATTGGGGAACTAAAAAGAATGACAGATGGTAGCATAAAAACGACGATATATAGAAAAACCACACACTGGAAGATTCCTTGGTTATCACTCAGCTCATCAACTCACAGTAAAACGAGGATTAATACAAGGTCTTGCAGAAAGAATACGTAGACTTACAACAACACCAGAGGACCAGTGTAAAGAAATAAAATTCCTATTCAAAATGCTACTCGAAAACAACTACCCTAGAGAATTTATAAAAGATAATATAAAAAAGAGAAAAAAGAGGGTAAAACCGGAGAATAACAAGAAGGAAGAATGGAAAAAAACAGTCGCAATACCATATAAAAATGGTACATCAGAGGCAATACAAAGAAACCTCAAAAATATCGGCATTCGAGCAACGTTTAAACCGACAAATCTAATCAAAAATAAATCCACTGAAAGATCCCATAAAAATGATGGATGAAAACAATTTAATTTACAAAATATCTTGTGCTGACTGTCCGACTAAACATGTGGGTCAAACACGTCCAGATCACTCCAAATAAGAGTGAATGAACATAAGTGCCTAATCAAAGGTCAACCAACAGGAACACAAGCTTACAAGATTCTTGAAAAAAAATTCATCGATAGCTGCACATGCATGGGACAAAAACCACAATGACGATTGGAACAATGTGTATATTCTAAAAACTAACATGAACAAATGGAAAGAGAGACTACTAATAACAGAATCTATATTCATTAAGGTCACGCCGTCAGATACATGTAACAAAGCTATCTCAGTACAACTATCAACAACTTGGAATATAATTCTGAATACAAAAACATGAATGAGCAAAAAACAAAAAGTAATGAACTATATATATGAGTACAAATCATAAATGCGTGAACAAAACAATTCCATCAGTGATGTGCACACGGGCAGTAATTTTGCTCAAAATATTACAAATAACAAAACTTATCATTGTGTGTAAACTATTGAAATATAATTAAACTTTATTCAATTACATCACTGTAGTCATCAGAGAAGAAACTTTAAAATGCCAGGAATTACAAACCGAATAACAATAAGAAATGGGATAAAACTTAAACTATGATATTGTAGTGAGAGCTGGCTTCGAACGAGCCAAAATTGTAAACAGAGATTTGTTTCAATGTTACTTCCCGAATCGGTGTCATGCGAAAAAAAAACAACAAAGCTCAACCTTGAGGAGCTCACCAATCAATCACAGAAGGCTTAACGTGTGCAAATATGATTGGCAAATATTTGGTTTGACCTTCTAAGAAACGGTCACAAGCAGTACAGAATAACCTTCAGTTAGAAAACAACCAATCAGAAGACGTTGCCTCCCTATAAATATCTCTAGATTCTCTGAATAAACTATATGTTGCCTAGCCCTTATCTTCTGTCGTTAAAATATTCATAACACAGTCATAACAGTGATGTGGTTTTGTTCTCTGAGCTGGATGGTTAGTTTGCGAAGCTTTCATCGCCCTACTGGGTGACATCTTCAGCGCATACTTCAATTTGAAGTGAGCTTTTAGGTTTCTCCACGAGTTTATTAATCATTCCTCCTGATGACCTTGGACATGATTGGTTGTTTATGTGTGTTCTCACACCTTGTAGGTTACTTGTGTTGGAACTGATTGTTTCTGTGACTTGAACTTTGACCCTTTGTGTGTGAAGTTTCTTTCTTATTGGTTGATAGATTTTGTCTATCTCGAAGTGTCTATTGATTGATGATTCACTGGGATGCCAAGCTTCTAAAAATTCTCTAGCATTCTTGCTATTTCCTTTGTCGAATATTTGAACGTTGTCCCAGTCGAATTGATGTCCGTGGTTGTCTGTGTGTAGTGAAATGAGGGAGTGTATATCATGTCTTTTAACGGCTAGCTTATGTTCGTTGATACGAAGACGAAAGGGACGTCCACTTTGGCCAGTCATAACAGTTAAGTAGAAGATTTTAATCATAACAGATTAAAACCCATCATCATACCCTTCCGTATAAAAAGATCACGTTTATTTATAAATTTTAATTGCACACGTATCTTTCTGTTTCCTTCTCTGTTGATGACAGGGAATAACTCCACAGAGTCAATACCATTTTCATAGTCTTTAAGATGCTTTATTACTGAACTTTTTGGTACCTTAACTTTAGCTTTAACTATTTGAGCGAATGTTCGGTTAAGCAACCAAACAGGCGCCTTTCCGTACAACCCATATATTTTCTTGCACAAGCATACTCAACTTGATATATCCAGTCAGATTTGCAATTAATAGTGTTCTCTGAGCTGGTTGGTTTAGTTGCGGAGCTTTCGTCGTCTTTCTGGACGGCGTCTTCAGTGCAGTATTTAGCATAAAGTTAAATGATTTTAAAATCTCCATGAATGATGATACAATTGCGTCTCCTGGTGACCAACCATCTTTACATATGTATTGACCGTTTTCTATTGATCGAGATTTTAAACTTTCTGATCACATGATTTGCTTTTTATTAGTTGATATATTTCATCTATATTAACGTGTTTATTAATGGCATTTTCGTTTGAGTACCAGGCTTCTAGGAATTCCCTGACTGCACATTTGGTGTTTCCTCTGTTTAAGATTTTGATATTATTCCAATCAAAGTGATGTCCATAATTGTCTGTATGCAGTGATACTAAAGAATTTATATCATGTCTTTTCACGGCTAACTTGTGTTCTTGGATTCTTATTCGAAGGGGACGCCCACTTTGGCCGATGTAATGTTTGTTAGAGTTCGTACAATTTATTTTGTAAATGGTGTTAATTTTATCTCCTTTTTCTATCGGATCTTTTGGTTTGCATAAGATCGAATTAAGCGATTCGGCTGGTTTGTGTGCTACATCTATATCAGAAGGTTTCATTATTCTAGCCGTAATTTCAGAGATATTTCTGATGTATGGTAGGAGGAATTTCTTTTTGGTCTTTGGTGATATCCAGTCAGAAGTGTCGAGAATTGGTAGTCGGTCCTCCAGAGATTTTTGAATCACCTGGTTGATAGGTCAAGAGTTCTATAGAAATTTTAGTGAATTCATTAATTCCAGCTTCACTGATAACATTTGTTGCTTATTTTAAATTGAAATCGGGAATTAAATGTAAATGTTTGTTTAAATCATGAAGGTTGTCAAATTTTATAACTTATGCTTTAGAGTACCAGTTGGATTGGAAAGTTGTCGTAACACAGATCCCCAACCCCTTGCCACTACATGAAAATCACCTAGATCCACTGAGTGGACGTGTATTTTCACACCGAATAATGTCCAAAAGTACTGTGTGTGTTCTTTTATATTTATATCCGAAGTGTGTAGGAAAAAACCAGTGGTTATAGATAAACAGTATTCAAAGAAAGCTCTAAGTTCTTTCCACTTGTTACATTCACAGGAGAGTTTGCAAGATTACATAATTAATACACCCCACTCCGCACTCTATGTATTGAATTTTCAACATGAAATACCCACCGCATTCAATTCCTGGCCTTCTTAATAGAATATAATACTTCAAGCTTGAGGTTCGGAGTTTCAGAAGAAATGATCTTGTGGTGAGAGCTATCTATGAATAAGCCAAAATTGTAGACAACAATTTACGTCAGTGTTCACGTTCCGAATCAGGGTCATGAGAAAAAAACAATAACAAAGCTTAACCTTGAGAGCATCGCCAGTTAATCACAGCGGAGTGTGAAAATATGTGTCACCAACATATGAATTGATTTTTTGACAAAAAACCACAAAGAGAAAACGATCAGTCAGAAGAGGTTGCTTCCCCGATCTGTTTTCTGGCCCTTGTCTTCTGTCGTCACAATGTTATTCTATTTATACCGAGGTGGAGTTGCTAGCCACACGTATAACTTCCCTTATTCAACAAGCTTACTACTGGGTTAAATGAGGCTTAAGAGTATGTTGGCTGGGAATCGAACCTAGAGAAGATGCATGATTGGTGAAAACATTTTACCAGAGGACCAACAGACGCCTTCTAACATACTTACCGATAAATAATTGTACGTATGTCGTAAACAACATCCATCAACTCACCTCTTTTTCACGTGAATTTAATTCATCCAATTGTTGTCGAAGATGCTCTAAATGTTTTTCTTTAGCTTGTAAACGTTGTAATTCCAATAATTCAGCTTGTTTTTCATCACGTTTTTTAGTTTCTGATTCAATTTCTTCATTGACAATTTCATTCATTGTCTCTGATTGTTTCAACTTGATATTTATTTATTTATTTGTTGATAAAGAAACAAAACACAAAATGGAAAAAATGTTTTTTATTTGAGAAACATTCATTTTATCACAATAGAGCCTGAGTGTAGCTCACACACTGAGAAACACTACAAAAGCATTTTGCTTCACCTCATGGAATTCTATATAGAATTTTGCATGTTCTTGATCATGTATGGGGATGATGCCAGAATTGTCAAGTTACATATTGAATGCATCTTTACAACTAGCGTACAGTTCGGAGCTGAACAACTGAGGTATTTCATAACTTAGGTTAACAAAACACACGAAGCCTAGAAATTTATGAAACAATAAAGTCGTTTGATTAATTAATTTTGAGTACACTTATCTCTGTCATATGGTGGAATTCTTTCCAGAGATTGGTTGAAAGTCTCAAATTTCTGTCAACCTCTATGCATTGGTTTATCCCAAAAGTGCAACCAGTATCATATGTCAAGTAGGTATTTGGTATTGTATCAATCAATTTCGCCAGGTAATCATCACTAAGTTAAGTGACTCGACATCATGGTGTACTTCGAATTTGTGTAAGATGGTTGAAGATAATTTCTAAGTAGCCCTGGACATATATCTGATAGAACTGACTAACCAACAAGCCAAAATCTTCATTATGTACACAAATAAACTAGCTTCCTACCGACTGCTTCCAAACATGTAATATAAACAAATGGTAGCCTGCTTAAAACCTGGGCTACAGAACACCCCATCAATATACCACACATATAGTTTCTTCTGTTCTGTTTGTTTAAATCTATTAAATATATGATATCTAAGTTTACCGTTTGCTCTAGCGAGTATTTCAGGCATTTATGACCTGCTGATTTGCAAGTCTCCGTTAAACAGGAAAAAAGCATTACTGTCGATTGCAGCTTGTCCTAATACATATGATGACCTTTCCTGAGTGGTGTCCTTAGTTCAAGAAATATACTCCTAAAGCCTTCATAGTTGGCATTCAGCTAAATGTTGCGCATTTCTCAGAGGAAAAGAAAAGGCATCATAATAAATCGGTGGGCATTTCAAGCCACAAAAAACTGTGTCACACGATCTACTGCAGAGTATTCTTCTATTTGAAGGTCAGGGACGAAGAGAAAATATCATCCGATAAGCACCGCTGAAAATTCTATGCATTACATAAATATTGTTTCAGAATAAAGCTATTTCTATTATTGCTTTTATTATTATTGTTATTATAAACGACTAACCGTCGCGACAAATCAATCACCTTAGTTTGGATATGTTTAACTAGGTTTTAAATATCAGAAACTAACGAACAATAGATAGGAAGCCCAAAACCTCTTGGTATCCTAAACAAAGAGTATATAAAACTTTTTGGGACTGCGTTATTTCAAGCATTTTACAAGGCATAAGTTCATCTCAAAGAACTTAAAGCTGAACAGATCACTCCGGTGAATGATGAAGCAAATGTAATTTAGTTTGCGTAAGTTATTCTGCATACACATCACTAATAAGAAAGCACACTTCACCTTTCCCAATGCTCATATTTTAATCAATCATAAAGGAAGTGAATCGTCACCTGAATTCCATTTTTTTATTTTGTATACCTTGAAAAAGAAACTGGTTAGAATGCAATGATTCTTGCACATTCATAAAACTTTTATCATTACTTAACTTTATGGATTTCGCGTGAATTATCTCTAGACTATGGATAAACAGTAATTAAGCTTCAACCAGGGAAATTCGTGTAAAAACAAATACTTGTGAAGACATACAGAGAAGCAATAAATGTTAATGACAAAATATATTAGCCTAAGCTTAACCAAAAGGGAAATGAACTGACATCTAATACCGAACAAGTCGACTTTTACAATCAGCTTACACAGAAAAAGCTCTCAATGTCTACTATGCAGTGAACTTTTCTCAGTTAATCAAAAGAGTTTAAGAAAACGCTAAAAGCCTAAAAATTCGTGACACTTATCGGATAAGAAGAAAGAATACTTCATTTGTGATAAGAATTTCGCGACATTATGAGGAATTTAGTGATTAGTTTTCCAAATAGTTAAAAGTGTAATGAATAGAGTTTACATACAAATAGTAAATATGAATACATAAATAAGTGTCATAAACTGCTCATTATCATATTATTGGAAGAAAGATGATCATATATTGATTATTGGTGTCTAAAATAGGGATTTTTGATGAACATATTCATGAGAAAAATGGATCTTTAGAGAAATATATACTGTCAATTAATACAGCCTATCTCAAATATTTTTCAAACTACTGCAGACACAGATTTAAAATAGTTCACCTTTTTGAATATTGTTCGGACAGATGAAATTTAATCATCTGTCAGAGATAACATCAAGTTTCTAAAATATCTCAAATATAAAGCGTTCCTCACACTAACTTTTCATAACACACTATGGATGACCTCTTGTCACGCCAGTTTGCGGTCTTTTGATTCTCAAAATAAGCTCATAAAAAGACTTCCTTGCCACATTTTGATACTGTGTTAATCTCTCACACCCGTATGCGCCTTGTGACTACAGAATTTTCCTGGAAAACCTTAACCATAACCTCTAAGTCTGGCCTGCAGCTAACACTCGATTTCGTATTTTAAGACTGTAATTGTCAATCTGAAGTTCCGAAAAAACTAACAAATTATATTTACGAATACCTTCTTCTGTGACCTAACTTATTTGCCATTATAAGCCCTATCTTCAAAGACGGGGATAGGCAATTGGTATCTAACTACAGGCCGGTAAGTCTGACATGCATTATTGCAAAGGTATTAGAAACTATTATAAGGGATCAACTATTAGCATATGTTGAAACACACGGCTTGTTGGCTGTGGAACAGCATGGATTCCGACCAGGACGATCCTGCTTGACAAACCTACTACTGGCTAGGGAAGACTGGGTTGAGGCCAGAGATAGGAACTACCTGTTGGACGTGGTTTTTATTGATCTTAGCAAGGCGTTAGATAAAGTATCCCACTTAGGTCTCCTTAGTAAACTTAAAGGTTTCGGACTAGACAAATGCCTATTTGAGTGGTTTGGAGATTTTTTTTGGTTTACAGCTTGATTCCACACTGCATTTTTTGGTACAAGTATGGAATTTTCAGCATGGATATCAGTAGCCCAAATTTTGCAGGCCGACCATAGATATCAGGTGTGCGCTGGCGTGGGCTCGAACCCCGGACCATGTGCATGGTCGGCGAGAGTCCTAACCACTGTGGATAGAAGGCAGAAGGTTAGAGTTAACGGTATACTATCAGGATGGAAAGCAGTATCCAGTGGAGTGCCCCAGGGAACTGTATTAGGTCCCTTGCTATTCCTATTATACGTTAACGAATTACCAGGGATTCTTTCTTCATCTTCATTATTATTTGCATATGATATTAAGATATGGAAAACTTTAAATAATAACGAGGATAGGTCCGCCCTACAAACTGATTTAGATAAATTAGCTGAGTGGTCAAGCCTATGGAGTTTGGAAATGAATGCTAGGAAAAGCGCGGTAATGCACTTAGGTCAGAAGTATTTTACGTCGTACTCCCTATGGGACGCAGAACCACATGATGTTAACGAACAGAAGGACCTAGGAATCATTGTCAACAATTATTTGAAAACAACTGCAAATTGCAATGCAGCCGCAGCTAAAGCTTTTCGAATGCTATGGGCAATTCGAAGGGCTTTCAAACGATTAGACGAGGGAATGTTCCAAATACTCTACGCAACATATGTCAGGCCTCATCTAGAATACTGCATACAAGCGACGAGTTCATGCTTCAAAAAGGAGGCACATATTCTGGAAAGAGTACAGAGAGTAGGAACAAAATTAGTTAGTGGTGTCTCACACCTTTCTTATGATAAGAGGATGGAGCATTTAAATCTCTTCCCGTTGTCATACCGAAGGAAGAGAGGCGACTTAATTTTAGCATACCGTATACTTAAGGGTGATTTAGGAACTGACCTTTCTAACCTTTTCTCCCCTTCCAGGATACATTTACGGGGTCACCGCAAAAACGTGCTCAAACTGAGGACGATTAAAATACGTGTAGAATTTAGATTCTCTCACAGAGTGGTCAATGGTTGGAACTCCTTACCTGATTCAGTAGTATCAGCTCCATCGGTGAACGCTTTCAAAGAGAAGTTAGATCTCTGCAGAGATATACTTTGAAAGGATTAACACAGGCCACAAGAGCCTTCTATCCTTATCATCTGAATCTTAACAAAACTATTCAGAATATAAAGGCCATTCACCACTAAACTCAAATACACTAGTAGAGTTAGAGTACTGAATGAAACATACCAAAAGTGTTGTAGCTTTTGAGAACAGAAGGATAAACTTGAACACATACAACCTACATGTGCAATATTGCAATGAAGGTCAGACAATTTAGTCATCAACTACTTAAGTCCCCAGTTATGACATATTTCAAATGAAAATGAATTCGCCGAAAAGAGACTCTTCGCTGAACTACTTGTCTTCTGTCTACTAATATTTCAAATGATCTCAAGATTGAAATAAAAGCCGGCAGTCGATTGTGTTTCTCATGCTCTATTCAAAGTATAAAACTTTGATGTTTGATATTTGGTGTATATATCAGTGAGAAAACTGTTTTCATTGAACGAATCGATTTTCCAACTTACCTCACTACGTTCATTTAATTGTTCCCTCCAACCATCTACCAAATGATTTTGACCAGCCACTCGCGCCAACTCCCTCAAATCTGGGTTGTTTTTTCTGAAATGTTCTGCTAGGAGTTTTTCAGCAATCTGCATCACATAACTTTAATTAGAACTAACAAACCTTTGCTTTTTCCAAGTCACGTGCTTGCTTTAATGCAGTCGACCGAATCAACATAGCAGATTTTCCCTTAGAACGCTCAGTATATACCTCGAGCAAATTCTGTTATTTCTGCCATACTGAGTGAACAATTTACCTTCTCGTTTTCTGCATCACATTCCAAAAGATGAAGCAATTTTCTCCTTCTTTCCTCGAGATTTTTATCATTCTGCTCTTTATTTTGCTCTGCATAAGCCATTTGGCTGACAAAGGTTGAATTCTGCGGTCTGTAAAACCTACCTTTGTTTTAAGAATTTGTTTGATGACCACTCTTTTTCCTTTTCTGCTCTTACATTTGAGTGGTTGAGATAATTCGAATGCTTCTCCCATTGCATGAATTTCTCAATTTCACTGGCCCTTTTTCTCATTAACAGATCCTCAATTCGCATGTTTTTTGAGTAGTTAAAATTCCCTATTCCTGGAAGGCTGACCATCTCTAATGTAAACACAATTTCAAAAAGGTCACATTTGTGAAGGACAATGTTTACCCAATGGCCTTATTCACAAGAAGGTATAAACAAAGGTGACTTCTTCTCCGGAAATTTTTTATAGGAAGAGAAATTTTGTTAACGTTCGAAGAATTTCAATCTTATAAGTGGTGCCATTCACCGGATGCAGTCGTTCCAATTTCATAACCATACACAGCTTATATAGAACCGCCCAAAATCCTAACTCTACAAAAAAAACTGACTGTAAACCTTCTCAGAGTCGTTCTAAACTCCAAAGGAGAGAGAGATACCACTCTAAGCAGATCTTAAACTCCTGTAGGATCAAGCGTTTAGGCGAACAACGCCGAAACGTCGAAAAGAACCTAAAGATCAAGCGTTTTCGGGTTGTCAAATTTCGAAGTTTGATGATCCTGAAGCCTCTGTAGGTAGGCCGCGAAAGCACCAAACTAAATCGACAGTTTGCGGCACAGACGCCTGCATCCTGCCGAACAAACGGACTGAGCTATGTTATACGACAGACTCCGCTAAAAGGATGTAATTGTCATAACACAGACATGGCTCACACTAGATCTCACTAATAACGAAGTTAGACTTCCAAACTTTGAAGTGCATAGGATGGACTGAGCCGCAAAGGAGGTGGCGTTTTCATTTGCCTCAAGAAATGCTTAATCATGCTAAGTATCTAAGCACTCACTCACGAAAGTGAATCATGCGATATTCTATGCTGCAGACTAAAATGCATAGGCCAAGATACTGATCCTATTGCTATACACCGCAGTCCTGACTCGAGTACAGATGGATTCCTAATAGATAAGCTAGGCTCCTGAACATCGAAATGTAGAATTCGCGTAGTCGGTGACTTCAGTGATCCAACAGTTGGCTGGACATGCCTTAAACGCCGTCTTCAGACAACTCCTTTGAACATAAAATGCTGGGATCTAGTACTTCGCCAGCACATGTCCAACCCGTCATTAAGTCTACGCGTTATGACTCAAAGTACTCCCCCTCATCTCTGAACCTAGTGTTCTCCCACGGTGAGGACGTGGATCTCGCACATCTTCCTCATTTACGAAGAAGTGATCACGCTCTGCTCACTTTGAAGTCCTCTGCAGCAGTGCTACTGGCGAATCCCCAGCTAGACCAAACGTTTCGAAAGCTGATATCAATGTTATCTTCTTAGCAGCCAGCTCAGTGAACTGGTACATCAACCTACAGTCCCAAGTAGAAGTCACATGAAACCAATTAAGACAACTTTTCCCCCGAGTGAAAGAACCTTTTATCCCTTGGTCTGTCCCAAAAGGTCGGAAACATTACTCCCCCCTTGGATAAACCGACTGATTCGTAAGATACTTAGACGTAAACACAAATGTTGGAACCTGTTTGTTACACTTGAGGCTCTTCAGGCCAGGGAATTACGCAACACCGCTAGGAAAAAAGCTGTCGCAGAAATTCGCCTATCAAGGATGAAGTTTGAAGCACATCTGACTCAAAATGCAAAGGCACATCCTAAGAAAATTTTCTCGTACATGAACTTCATGAATAAAAAATTCTGTATTGTCCCAAACCTGACTACTGACAATGACACAAGATAAGATGGTCAAGAAAAGGCAGAAGCGATAGCAGACAATTCCCCAAAGTCTTCATACTGTAGCCATCACTCCTAATAGGATCGGCCGTGGCTGCATCAGAGAAACAGAGGAGAGATTCCGTTGACATTGACCAAGACCTCGTGCTTGACTGCCTATTGGAACTAGATGCCGTAGAATCAAGGGTTTTCGGTAATCTTTATCTTCTCAAGGAGCTATCAGCTCACATAGCCGGCCCTTTGACCACGATATTCCATTTATATCTCCTAAATAGAGTGTTACCGCGTGAATGGAAAGAATTCATAGTAGCCCCTCTCCACAAAGGAGAATCAGGACAAAGTCCTTCAAATTACAGGCCTATTAGTCTTACAGGCACTTCAGTCAAAACACCAGAAAGAATAGTCCAAATAAGTAACCTGGCATATCTGGAAAACAATTTGTTGTCCATAAGATGGCATGGCTTCCGGGAAGTCTACTCATGCCTGGCAGGCCCTACTAAGGCAAGATAAATCTGTGTCAAGTCAAGGGACGAAAGAACTGTCAAAATCGTCTTCACAAACTTCAGCAGAGTCTTCGCCAAAGCAACTCATGTGGTTGGAATCTCTTTGGAATTAAAGGTGCCTTACTAAAGTGGATTAGGAAATTCCCCACAAGCGAAGGACATAGGGTCAGGATCAATTCGCAGCGCTCCTCCTAGACAACGGCAATCTGCAGAGTGCCAAAAGACAAGATACTTAGGCCTCTCCACATTATTTCGAATGTCGGTGAACCATCTGGGCTCAACGATTCCCCAATGATCCTGTATGTAGATGACTTAAGAATCTGGAGAGAGCTGAAGGTATACAGTAATACAATCACAGCGCAGGTAGAACTTAACAAATTTGCATAGTGATTCAAAGAAAGGATGCTCTCGATCAATGTAGCGAAGTGTGCAACCATGATCAATGGACACGCAATCATCAGCTGCTTCGAAATGCAGTGAATAACTCTCCTAACATTGAATAGAAATTTTGATTTTCCCGTCGATTGATTGGACCGAAGTGCTCGGTCTCAGGTTGACATGCCGGCTTCTTGTGCAGATGCTTCGACGATGTCTGGGCATTTAGTTAGTATACAATTGGTGGATGGTGGCTAGCAGTGGAATCCAGGATGCTAGCCACCATCCACTCATTGTATACTAACTAAATGCCCAGACATCGTCGAAGCATCTGCACAAGAAGCCGACATGTCAACCTGAGACCGAGCACTTCGGTCCAATCAATCGACGGGAAAATCAAAATTTCAATTCAATAATTAATATGACCCGTCGCACAAGAGGTGGCTCTCGTGGCCCAAGTGGTCTAGTGGATAACGCTTTGGCGTTTGAAACTATGGGTACTGGGTTCGAGCCTCAGTGGGAACATCATCACTCACTGAGAAATGCAGGTACATCCAGCTGACGAGTCCCAAATAGGACGAAATGCGCATCCTGGATTCCACTGCTAGCCACCATCCACCAATTGTATACTAACTAAATGCCCAGACATCGTCGAAGCATCTGCACAAGAAGCCGACATGTCAACCTGAGACCGAGCACTTCGGTCCAATCAATCGACGGGAAAATCAAAATTTCAATTCAATAATTAATATGACCCGTCGCACAAGAGGTGGCTCTCGTGGCCCAAGTGGTCTAGTGGATAACGCTTTGGCGTTTGAAACTATGGGTACTGGGTTCGAGCCTCAGTGGGAACATCATCACTCACTGAGAAATGCAGGTACATCCAGCTGACGAGTCCCAAATAGGACGAAATGCGCATCCTGGATTCCACTGCTAGCCACCATCCACCAATTGTATACTAACTAAATGCCCAGACATCGTCGAAGCATCTGCACAAGAAGCCGACATGTCAACCTGAGACCGAGCACTTCGGTCCAATCAATCGACGGGAAAATCAAAATTTCAATTCAATAATTAATATGACCCGTCGCACAAGAGGTGGCTCTCGTGGCCCAAGTGGTCTAGTGGATAACGCTTTGGCGTTTGAAACTATGGGTACTGGGTTCGAGCCTCAGTGGGAACATCATCACTCACTGAGAAATGCAGGTACATCCAGCTGACGAGTCCCAAATAGGACGAAATGCGCATCCTGGATTCCACTGCTAGCCACCATCCACCAATTGTATACTAACTAAATGCCCAGACATCGTCGAAGCATCTGCACAAGAAGCCGACATGTCAACCTGAGACCGAGCACTTCGGTCCAATCAATCGACGGGAAAATCAAAATTTCAATTCAATAATTAATATGACCCGTCGCACAAGAGGTGGCTCTCGTGGCCCAAGTGGTCTAGTGGATAACGCTTTGGCGTTTGAAACTATGGGTACTGGGTTCGAGCCTCAGTGGGAACATCATCACTCACTGAGAAATGCAGGTACATCCAGCTGACGAGTCCCAAATAGGACGAAATGCGCATCCTGGATTCCACTGCTAGCCACCATCCACCAATTGTATACTAACTAAATGCCCAGACATCGTCGAAGCATCTGCACAAGAAGCCGACATGTCAACCTGAGACCGAGCACTTCGGTCCAATCAATCGACGGGAAAATCAAAATTTCAATTCAATAATTAATATGACCCGTCGCACAAGAGGTGGCTCTCGTGGCCCAAGTGGTCTAGTGGATAACGCTTTGGCGTTTGAAACTATGGGTACTGGGTTCGAGCCTCAGTGGGAACATCATCACTCACTGAGAAATGCAGGTACATCCAGCTGACGAGTCCCAAATAGGACGAAATGCGCATCCTGGATTCCACTGCTAGCCACCATCCACCAATTGTATACTAACTAAATGCCCAGACATCGTCGAAGCATCTGCACAAGAAGCCGACATGTCAACCTGAGACCGAGCACTTCGGTCCAATCAATCGACGGGAAAATCAAAATTTCAATTCAATAATTAATATGACCCGTCGCACAAGAGGTGGCTCTCGTGGCCCAAGTGGTCTAGTGGATAACGCTTTGGCGTTTGAAACTATGGGTACTGGGTTCGAGCCTCAGTGGGAACATCATCACTCACTGAGAAATGCAGGTACATCCAGCTGACGAGTCCCAAATAGGACGAAATGCGCATCCTGGATTCCACTGCTAGCCACCATCCACCAATTGTATACTAACTAAATGCCCAGACATCGTCGAAGCATCTGCACAAGAAGCCGACATGTCAACCTGAGACCGAGCACTTCGGTCCAATCAATCGACGGGAAAATCAAAATTTCAATTCAATAATTAATATGACCCGTCGCACAAGAGGTGGCTCTCGTGGCCCAAGTGGTCTAGTGGATAACGCTTTGGCGTTTGAAACTATGGGTACTGGGTTCGAGCCTCAGTGGGAACATCATCACTCACTGAGAAATGCAGGTACATCCAGCTGACGAGTCCCAAATAGGACGAAATGCGCATCCTGGA